TTTTTTTTTTTTTTTTTATAATTTTAAAAAAAAAAAAAAAAGAAAAAATAAATAAATTTGTTTTTTTTTTTTTTTTCAATGTATGGTGTATTCTAATTTAAACAATTTTTTATTTATAAATTTTTAGTAAAATAAAATAATTTAATTATTAAAATATTTTTATAAACTTCTAAGTATATAAAAGGCATATATTACTATTAATATATAAAAGACATTTGTTCTATAATTTAATTGTTTAACGGATTTATTAATTTAAAAAAAAAAAAATAAATAATAAAAACAAAAATAGGATGAAATGAAAAGTACTATTACAAATAAATGTAACAAATTTAATCAAATATATGCAAAAATTATTTTTAATTTTTTAAACCCACAAAAAAAAAAAAAAAAATAAAATAAATTAATAAATAAATAAATTTTATTAAATATATTAAACATATTAAATATATTAAACATATTAAATATATTAAACATATTAAATATATTAAACATATTAAATATATTAAATATATTAAATATATATATAAAAAAGAAATAAAATAAAATAAAAATTAAAATAAATATTTCTCTTTTGAAAAAAAATTATAAATATCAAATATATTTAAAAAAAAAAAAAAAAAAAAGTACTTCTTAAAGTTATATTAGAAAAATCTTTTATTATTCAAACATTCGCATGTTAAATGCTTCATTACACTTTTTAAGATATAAGAATCTTAATTTGTATATTACAAAACGTTCTTCAATTAATTTTAAAAATAATATTAAAAAAATTTCGAAAAGATATTTCATTACAATGAATGAAAAGAAAGAGCATGAAAATGAAAAGAGAATAGATTTCCCAGAAGCAAAGTAATTTTATAATTTTTAATATTTCATAAAATAGATAAAAATAAAAAAATATGTATTAAAAAATAATGGTTTCATAAAATATATATATATATCTATATATATATATATACATTTATAATATTCTTTGTAAGAATGTTCATAATTAATAACTTTCTGTTTATTCATTTTTTTTTTTTTTTTTTTTTTTTGTGTTAAGATATTTATGTAATATATTTATATTGCATAAATATTTTAATTTCTATATTTTTTATCATATAAATTTTCTTTTATCAAATAGTTTTTTTTGAAATTCTTATAACTACATTTCATATACACACATATATATATATATATATTCCTTTATAATTTTATATACTTAATTTTTACAATTATTCCTTATAAAAATATATATAACATTAATATAAATATCTTATGAATATGTATTTATGTTTTATAAATAAAAATATTTTATAAAAATATATATATTCATAAATATTTTAGTTTTATATAAGACTATGCGTTAATTTTTTATTTTTATCTTATAATTTTAGTGAAGGCAAGCAAGAAAGAGATAAAAAAAAAGAAGATGAAACAGAAGTAGACCCTCGATTATACTACGAAAATAGATCAAAATTTATCGTTGATCAGAAGAGTAAAGGAGTAAACCCATATCCTCATAAGTTTGAAAGAACAATTACTATACCAGATTTTATAGAAAAATATAAAAATCTTTCAAATGGAGAACATTTAGAAGACACTATTCTAAACATTACAGGTAGAATAATGAGAGTGTCATCTTCTGGACAAAAATTGAGGTTTTTTGACTTAGTTGGTGATGGAGAAAAAATACAAGTTTTAGCTAACTATACATTTCATGATCATACAAAATCTAATTTTGCTGAATCTTATGATAAAATAAGAAGAGGAGACATTGTTGGTATAGTTGGATTTCCAGGAAAAAGTAAGAAAGGAGAATTGAGCATTTTTCCAAAAGAAACTTTAATATTATCTGCCTGTTTACATATGTTACCTATGAAATCTGGATTAAAAGATACTGAAATTAGATATAGGCAAAGATATTTAGATTTAATTATTAATGAATCTTCTAGAAGTACATTTGTTACAAGGTCTAATATTATAAATTTCTTAAGAAGATTTTTAAATGAAAGAGGATTTTTAGAAGTAGAAACACCTATGATGAATTTAGTTGCAGGAGGTGCTAATGCTAGACCTTTTATTACACATCATAATGATTTGAATTTAGATTTATTTTTAAGAATTGCTCCTGAATTATATTTGAAAATGTTAATTGTTGGAGGTTTAGATAAAGTATACGAAATTGGAAAAATGTTTAGAAATGAAGGTATTGATAATTCTCATAATCCTGAATATACTTCATGTGAATTTTATTGGGCTTATGCAGATTTTCATGATTTAATTAAATGGTCAGAAGATTTTTTTTCTAGTTTAGTATATCACTTATTTGGATCTTATAAAATAGTATATAATAAAGATGGATATGATAATCCTCCTATTGAAATTGATTTTACACCACCTTATCCTAAATTATCATTGGTGGAAGAAATTGAAAAAATAACAAACACTAAATTAGAACAACCATTTGATTCTGATGAGACTATAGAAAAAATGATTAACCTTTTAAAAACTTATAAAGTTGAATTACCCAACCCTCCAACAGCTGCTAAATTGTTAGACCAATTAGCTTCTCACTTTTTAGAAAATAGATACGTTGATAAACCTTTCTTTATTATTGAACACCCTCAAATTATGAGTCCTCTTGCTAAATATCATAGATCTAAACCTGGTTTGACAGAAAGATTAGAAATGTTTATATGTGGTAAGGAAGTTTTAAATGCTTATACAGAATTAAATGATCCATTTAAACAAAGAGAATGTTTCACAAATCAACAAAAAGACAGAGAAAAAGGAGATACGGAAGCTTTTCAATTTGATGCAGCTTTTTGTACAGCTTTAGAATATGGTTTACCACCAACTGCAGGTTTAGGAATTGGTATAGATAGAGTTACAATGTTTTTAACTAATAAAAATTGTATTAAAGATGTTATTTTATTCCCAACTATGAGACCTGCTAATTAGTTTATTCAAAAAATGTTATCACATATATAATTTGAGTATATAATTAAATGAATTAATGAATGGAAGAAATTTTAAATATTCCTTTTTAATTCCTAATTTATATGCTAAGATTCTTTTTTTAATCATAGAAATTAATTAAACAGATTAAAAATTAAAATTCTTTGATATAAAAGGAAAGATTAAATACATAAAAAAAAAAAAAAAAAAAAAAAAAAGAAAAATATTTATATATATATATATATCATTTTTTTACTATAAATTTTTACCCTTTGTCTTTTTTTTTTTTTTTTTTTTTATATACTATTGTATTTTTTTCTAATTTTATTTTTTTAACATATATTTATAATTGTTAACTTCAATAATTATTTTCCTTTTATATTTTTAAGTATTTTATATTAAAATATTTAGTTATTTAAGATTATTATATATTCAATATATAGAGTATTTAAAAAAAAAAAAAAAAAAAAAAAAAAAAAATTTCATAATGTATGTACATTGCAAATAAGGAAATGGAAAATTTTTTCTTTTTTGTTGAAATAAAATAATCTTTATAACAATTATTTATAAGTAATGCTAATTACTATAAAAATTGATTAAATTATTTTATTTTTCTTTTTTATTTGTATTATTTTCTGCTTATACTTTTGTAATAATGCAAAAAAATACCTATAATTTTGATGTAGGATATTTTTTAAAAAGTTGTACTGATTTAGAACAATCATATGAAGTTCTATTAAATGAAAAAAAAAAAAGTGAATTAAAACTAAATGAAGTGTCTAAAAACTTACAAGAAATAAAAGAAAAATATGAAAAAGAAAAAAAAAGTATAATTTAGATAGAAAAAGAAATAATATAAGATATTGAGATATATAATGAGAACAATCAATAAATAATATAAATTTTATTATCTACATATTTTATGAATTTATAATTACATATGTTTTCAAAAAAAAAAAAAATAAAGAGTAATCATTCTTACTATTTTATATTTCTTCATTAATTTTTGCGAACAATTAGATAATTTAGAAATATCATTTAACATATCAGAACAAACAGATAAATTAATAAAAAAGCAAAATTATTTTGAAAAGTAAAAATCTAGAGAAGCCTTTACTTCTCTTTTTTATTAATTCTTTCTTAGTATTTTTGTTTATTTCATTTTATTTTTTTTGTTTTGTTTTTTTTTCTATATCAATAATAGTTATGAGAATGTAAAAAAACAAAATGAAGATTTTAAGCGTAAAATAGAAATTTTAAAAAAAGAAAAACAATTTGGTAATACTAATAAAAACTTCAGAAAAATATATAAAAAAAAAAAAATAAAATAATAAAATTTCATTATGTTTTCTTTTAATAGAAAAACAAAACATGATGGAGAAGATAAAAATAGCTGAAAGAAAGAAACATCAAGAAATAGAAGAATATGAAAAAAAAATGGTTAAAAAAAAGAAATAAAAAATAATTGGTTTATTTCGGATTTTAAACTTAATTAAGTCACTTTGTTTTCTTATTCTTAATATGTACAATTTATTTATTTTTTTTAATTAGAGACAGAATAAAAATATGTTGCTAGAATTAGAAAGTCAAATTAAAGAATTAGATTTTGAAATATCTTCAAAAAAGTAATGATAGGAAATATTTCATAATATGATATATAAAATTTTAAAGTATATATATATAAAAGTATAATTTTTTAATTTTTATATATACTTTTTTTATTTTATTGAATCTCTATTTTTAGCATAGAGATAAAAAGGTTATCATCGATTATAAATGATATACAACAAAAGCATGAAAAAAAAAAATTAGAATATGAACAAAAAATTAAAGATTTAATTAAAGAAAACGAAGAAATCAATAGAAAAAATAAAGTATGAAAACTTTTAATAAGCTTTTTTATTAAAAAATTATAACTTTATTTTATTCATATTTTTATATATATACATTATGTTTTTTTTACTTTTGATCAATTTAAATTAAAAATACTAGGAAGTTATTAACAATTTAATAAATGAAAGTAATAACCCATCTTTGGATAATTTAAAAAATAAACTTAAGTTACAGCAGCAAGTTAACATATTTTTAAAAAACTAAAAAATAATATTTTTAGAAATGGTCTTTCATAATATATATATATATATCTTTTTTATATTTTTTTACTTTTAATATTGTATGCATTTTATATATTATAATATTTAGGAACCTATTAAGTTAGAAGGAGAGCATTTAAATTTAAAAAAGAGCATTAATAAAACATCAAACAAAAAATCTGTATCAACAATGCATACAAGGAATAACAAAATTTTATACAAAATATAAAGTATATTTTAAAGTTTTTTAAATATTATTTATCCCTACAATATATTAAAAAAATATATAAATGAACTTTTAAGTTTGTTTTACGAATAAATAAATATAAAAATTAATTAAACAAATAGAAAATAATAAAAACATTCTTATATATATATATATATGCTTTTAAAAAAAAAAAAAGATAATTGTATAAATTATAAAAATTAAATTTTATAAATAGCTTCTTATTTAAAAAAAAGGAAAATATTTAATATTTAGTATGTAGAAAAAATATATAAAAAAAAAAAAAAAATAATATTAGAGATTGAATATAATAAATATAACTTAAAATTCCTTTTATTTTTCTTTTTTTTTTTTTTTCCATATAAAATAATTTTAATACTTTTATATATATAATAAAAAAAAAAATAAAATAATTGTAACTATATATATATATATAATTATATATATATATTTCATTGTAGTTTTGTTTTACACATTTAAAGACTTTTTATTTTTTGTTTAAAATGTAAAATTATCATAATTTAATAATGAAATCGAAAGTTTTATATTTTTTACTTTTTTATAATTTAATATTATTTTGCTATACTTTAAAGATAAGATATATAAAAAATCAAGTTAATTCACATTTTCTTTGTTACATTAAAAAAGGCAATTATTTGAATAGTAGTAACAAACATTTTTACATAAGAAAAAAAAATATATCAAATAATAAATTTAATCTAAATGAAAAGAAGGAAGATGATATTTTACCATTTATAAATAATTCAAAGAACCATAATATTTTTCGGAATAAATATAATTATATACCATCAGTAGATGAAGTAAAATCAGATATTGAGAATTTTAAAAAAGAAAAATCTTTTTATTTTACTGAACACAGTATACTTGAATTAATAAATATAGAAGATAATATTGTTGTAATAAATATTGAAGGAAAGTTTTTTGAAGATATTAATGTAGTATTTACAGAAATAACAAAATATCTACTGGATAAATATTTAGGTATTTTAGGTGTTCATCCATATAATATAAAATCATTGAACATTAATAATGAAAATTAAAAGGTAAAATATAAATTTATTTTATTTCATTTTTTTTTTTTTTTTTTTATAATTTCTTTGAAAAACTGTTTCTTTTTAATTTTTATATAAAATTACTTAATTTTTATATTTGAAAATAAAATACAATTATTTATTTAATGATAATTTAAAATTATTTGGACTTTTTTTTCTAATTTCATATTATCATATATATATATAAAAGAATTTTCAGTATTTATAGAAACTTATTTTAACATTTATTAAAAGCAAACTCAAAAAAAAAAAAAAAAAAATAATAATAAAATTTTATTGGATAATGTATGAAAAGAGTAAGTATACAATTCTATATTAATAATAAAAAAAAAAAAAAAAAACTATAAAACTTAAAAAAAAATAATATTAATAATAAATTAAAAAAAAAAAAAAAAAAAAATTAATAATGAAATATATTAAGCATATATAAATAGTATACTATTCTTTTTATAGTTAATATAATATGTTAAGATAGCGATTATTAAAAAATTTTAGTTATCTAAATAATAGATTTAATTAAAATACTTAATACATTTTTATTTTATTTCTTTTACATATCATAATTATCGTTTACATCTTTATCTTCTCCATATTGGATTATCATATCTATTGAATTTATTATAAAATCAACATTATCATCATCATAAATATTTAAAGGTAAAAATGATACTAAATTAAAATCTTCAATAATATGTGCAAAAGCATTATTTAATTTGTAATACTTTTTTGACATACATTTGTTGGCTCTAATAATAATATCATGTGGATCTAAAGAAAGTATATCATTTAATTTTTCAAAATTTTTTTTGTATATTTGTTCTTCATTTTCTTCGTAAAATACACTACTATGCTCTGATGTATTACTCATAGAACTTGCATTTTTTTCTGATATATTTGAAGAGGAATAACCAGAAATACTTTTATTTTCATAATCAGAACATAATATATACTCATCTTTAAATGATTTTTTATTATTTACAAATTCTAATTCATTTAAAAATGAATCATTATCATTATAATCTTCTATGTTATTTTGTATATCTTTAAAAGTTTTTATTTTTTTATTAATTTTTTTGTATAATTGTTTTTGAAAAAAAAAATTATTATTATTTTTAAATTTTTTGAATTCTTCATAATAGTTTTTACTTACCATAAGATCGCATTTAGTTAATATGTTAATATGAGGTAGCTCAAAATTTATCATCGTTGACAGACTAGTTAAGTATGCAGATAATAATTTAGTATTAGAACTAATAAAAGAAATATCTATTAGAAAAACAATAATTAATCTTATATTTTGATTTGTGAATATATTTAAAATTTTTTTAAAATAATCTGTATGTGTATATAATTCTATTTGTCCAGGTGTATCAATAATAAAGTAATTATCATCATCGTCATAATTATTTAATTCATCTTCTAATATATATGAATTTTCATATAATAATTCAACACTTTTTAATAAAGCACAATTAGGACCAAGCATTTGTTCTTCCATTAAGGAATTTACTTCAACATAATTCCTAATATCAATATCATAAATTGTATCATAAATATCAGTTAGTTCTTTTTCAATACTAGATGTTGTATTCATTGGCTTTTTTTTTCTTTCATAATAATATTCTTCACTAGCACTATCTAAATTGATAACATAACAATTTCTTTTCTTTATTCTCATAAATTCTTTCATTAATTTGCAATAATTTGTTTTTCCACTTCCAGCTGGCCCTACTACTACTTGACCATATTTCATTTTAACAAGATATTAAAAAGAAAAATATATTAATAAAAAAAACTATCCATATAATAATAATAAACAATTTTTATTATATATTTAAAAATAATATAAAAAAAAAAAAACTAATAAAAATATTCAACGTGATGTCATATCAAATTTAATTTAAAAAAAAAGAAAAGAAAAATTTTAATTGAATTTCTCTTTTTATATATGTCATTTTATAAATGAAATATATTAAATGTTATAAAAATGATAATAAAAAATTAATTTTTTTTTTTTTTTACAAAAATATTTTAAAAAATATACAGTATTAATATATAAATTAAATTTTATTTTTTTAATAAATAATGGGTATTAAAAAATTCATAAAAATGTTAATTCATTTACTAATGTTTTCTATGAACAACAAACAATAATTAAAAATTTTTAATATTTTTAAATTTTTTTAAAAGAATTTATAATTGTTTAATTATATAAAAATATATTTTTATTTTAAGTTTTAATGTATTAAAATTAAAAAACTATATATAAATTAAAAAAGATAAAAAAAAAAAAAAAAAAATTTTATCAAAATTTAAAATCTATTTTATTTAATGTATCAAAAAATTATATAAATATAAAAAATATATATATACATATATCAATAAAGGAATACATAAACAAATATCTTATAGAATAGTTACATATATAATTAAATAAAACGTGCAATCAACATATGCATTATTACAAATTCAATATAAAAAAAAAAAAAAAAGAGAAAAGATTATTTACCAAAATATTTAACACGAATAGCACCAATTAAATAAATAGTTAAAAGAATAAATAATAAATTAATTAAAAACCAAAGAACTCCACATAATTTTGAATTGCATTTAGTTAATTCAGCATATTTATAAGCATCAGATTCATACGATGTTCTTGTAATTAAATCTTCAAAAATATCAGTCATGCTATACATTTCATTTAATACACCAATAAAAGTCATAATAATTTTTAATGGCCAATAATCCAATTCTTTAAAATACACACATAAAACCCAAATGGATATAGTAACTGTAAGAAAAAGTACACAAAGAATTCTTAAAAATACATTTTTTGCATAAAATATTAATACTATTAACAATAAAAAACATAAAAATCCAGCTGATATTATTAATGTCCATTTATTTAAATAAGCCATCAAAATAAAAAACATCCCATAAAAGCATGACCCGATATATCCTGCCGGCAAAATTAAAAATTGATTTCCCCCAATTGTGTTTGTACATCCACCATGATTTTTATTAACCTCTATTTTATAAATAAAAATTGACATTATTTAATAAAAAAAAAAAAAAAAAAAAATTTTAGACATTTTAAAATATAGCTAGTAAATGTGTAACATATTTAAGAAAGTTCAAATTTTTTCATTTGTAAAAATCATTTATGCTTTTGTCTAATTTATACATACAATTTTTTTTATTCTTTTTTTCTTTAACCTATTCCTTTAACTTTTCCTCCAGTTATCCAGCAAGCAGAAGCATGAGAAAATTCATGTAAAAAAACAGTTAATAATTTGAATGGCTCTAAGATTTTACATCTCCAAAATATTATATTTATAATTACACATACAGATATACTTATGAATGTTATATTTTGATTTTTTTCACAGCAATTTTTTAAAGTAAAATCAAAATCCATTATGTGTATTTTCTATTAAAAATTATTATACAGAAAAAAAAAAAAAAAAAAACTAAAGAATAAAATTAAAATATAATAATGCATAAAAAAAAAAAAAAATAAAAAAAAGGTCATAAACATAAATTTTTTTTTTTATCATATAAAAAAAAAAATTTCCGGTTAATATGCGTTCAAATAATAATCCATGTGTTTAAAAATACACAAAAAAAAAAAAAAAAATAAAAATAAAAAAAAAAATATTATAAAAAATAATAAAAAATAGCCTTTTTTATTATTAAAATTTTATATTTACTTTTATATTATTAAAAAAAAAATAAATATATTTTTTTTTTTTATATTATATCTTAATCAATATCTGTTTTTCTTTTTTTGGGTAATAAGTTTAGCAATTTTAATGTTTCTTCAGATAATCCTATGTTTTCTATGATATTACTTTTCTCTTCTATTTTATGTGGCAAATTATTGTTTTCTTCTTTTTTAAATGGTATAAAACCATTAGATTTAACATTATAATTTGATATATAATTTAATCTATTTGAATGATTAAAATTTTCGTCATTAATATCACCCATTTTAGAAAAATTTATCTTAATTTCTGAACTTTCTAAAAGTTGTTTAAGCACATTATTATGAATTGATAAACTATTATTTTCTCTTATTTTAGGAAGTAATTCATTAAAGTTTTCATTATCATCTACCTCTATAGTGTGTATTAAATAATCAGGCAAATCACTATTTAATCTAAAAAAAATTGTAAGAATTTTTACATTAAAAAATTGAAATAATTTTTAACAAATCACATAATGAAAATATATATACTTATATATATATATATATATATATATATATATATATATATATATATATATATATATATATATATATATGTATATATCTGCTTTCAAAAAATAAAAAATGTTAGATTTAATAAGTTTTTCTCTAAATATATTCTCTGTTTAAAAAACACACAAATTTATATTCATATTTCCAAAAAGAAAATAAAAATATAAAAATGTTTCATAAAAAAAATATAAGCATACACATAAAAAATATATATATGTTGAAATATCATATATATAGTTATAAAATATTACTCTGGCATTACAATATTGTGCTCTTGAATTTTTTTAACTATATTGTTTATTTTATATTCATTAATTAAATGAAGTGTTACTAAATTTTCTACAATAAACATTAAAGGTATATCCATTTTATATTTTTCTTGAAATATTTTAACATTTTGTAACATATTATGTAATTCTTTCTTATATGCCCTGAAATTTTCAATGTTTTTTTTATCTACTTTACTAATAACATTTGTTGCTAAAGTATTTTTAAAATCTTCATTTTCACTAACACTAAATTTTTTTTTACAATTTTGATAAACACAAGGATAATTAAGCAATTCAAATATATCTTTTATTTCAATTTTTACATTTTTTATAAAATTTGAAAGAGATTCAAAAAAGGATATGACAAAATAATTGTTTTCATCTTCATTATTTTTTAAGGATGAATTCATTTTTTATTCATAAAAAGAAAAATAAATAAAATTTGTAATTGCTTTAAATTATAAAAAAAAAAAATAAATAAAAAAGAAATGATTAAAGAACTTTTTAAATCATATAAAGGATAATATTTTAGTGACAATTATTGTGTAATAACTCGAACAAAAAAAATATATTTAATGAAATACAAAATATTTTTTTTTCTTAAAATTTTTTTTTTAATATGTCTGTTTTTTAAAAAAAAAAAAAAATACATTAGTCAACCAAAATTTTTTATAAGTTTTTATTTTTTTTTATTATTTTTTTGAAATAATTTTTTAAAAATTTATTTTTTCTTTAAATATATGTAAATATTTCTATTGGAACTGTATATATATACACAAATATATTTTAGATATATATATATATATATATATATATATATATATATATATATATATATATATATATATATATATATATATTTATTTTTATTTTTATTTTTATTTTTTGCTTATTTTCATTTTTTACCTGTTCATTTTATGTAAATTTTTTTATTCGTTAAAGAACATTTAGCTATATACTACGTTTTTAACTAAATATTTATAAAAAAAATTTTAATGAGAAAAAAATAAAATATTTGATTATGCAATTTTTTATCTTACCTAGTTGAATATATTTATTTTATTGTTTTGTTATGATTAAATATTCATTACTTTTTTTTTTAAAATTTTTTTTGTGATTATTCTATAAATATCCCTTCAAATGTTATTTTCCTTACAATTTATATTAGGTTATTTTTTTACATATAGACTTAAATTTTTTTTTATGGAAAATAAATATTTGAGTTTTATGAATATTTAAGTATAAATTATTAGTAAATTACAAATATAAATGCTATTAATAATAAAAATTCATCTAAATATTATATTTTTTTTTTTTGGTTTTTTTCTTTTTTTTTATCCTTCAAATTTTAAATAATGTTGCATTTACACAATTCATGTGTATCAGATATTGAAAATATAGAATATATATTAAAAAAAAAGGATTATAATGGAATAAAAACAAATAGAGAAATAAAAAAAATTTTCAAAGATTTAGGTGCTGCTTATAAAAACTTTAGTGAATCATTAAAAAAAATTCATAATGAAAGTAGCAATTTAATTTCATTAATTAAAGAAAATGATGATAAAGATAATTCAGAACAAATTTATTTTTCTGATTGCTTTCTTAATATTGTTTCTCTTATAAAAAATATATATGAGGAAAACTTGGCTGTTAGTGAGAAAATAGAAAAAAATATTGTTGATGAGTTTGAAAAAGAAGAGAGAGAAAGAGTTAGTGATATTAATTCCATATATAAAGAAGAAATTAGTCTTGAAAACAATGAAGAGGAAAAATTCGTAAAAAATAGTGCTCATATAAATGAAGAAAAATATAATGATATACTTATTGAAGGAATACCATTAAAAGATATTGAAATTGATTTAAAAAGATGTTTAGAAAATAAGGATTTCACAAATAAATACTTAAATCATACAAAATACAAGATTTATTTTTCCGAATTAAATAAATTAAACTTAAAATTAGATAAAGAAATTTATTCTTTTAAACAGCTAATTCAGAATTTTGGTAAAAATGCTAGTAAATTGCTTATACATAAATCAAAAGAAAGAATAAATGATATTCAAAATAAAAAAAAAAATATTCTTGAATTTTTATATAGCGATATAATGGAATTAAAAAAAAGTAAAAATAGTTTATTAAATGAAAATATTGAATCAAAATTTTTAATAAATAATAAAAATGAAAAAAAAGAATATGATAATATGGAACAACATGAAGAAGAAAAAAAACAGAATGAATGTCATAAAGGTAAAGATCTGAAAAATAACCAAAATACTTTTTTTTCAAATCTTTATTTAGAAAAATTTGAAATAAGAGAAAAATATAGAATAGAAAAAATTTATTCAAGTTTTAGAATATTTTTAAAAGCTTTAGCAGTTAAGCATATTAATGTGAATAAAGTGTTGTACAAAAGTGCTAATGAAGTATGTTCATACGATTCTCTTATAGATTATCAAAAATGGTTAAGCTACATTTTAAAGAAAGACTTAGATATTATGAGTTTACAAGAAAAAATACAAAAAAATAACATATTGACAAAAGAAGAAGAATATTTATTAATGCCTTCTGATTATAATTTTTTTAATAATAATTCAGTAAATTTATTTGAAAAGAAAAATGAAAATAATTCATATTTTCAGAAAGGGGAATTGATTTTTAAAAAGCAAGATTCAAATATCAAAAAAGAAAAAAAAGAAAAAAAAAATGAGAAAGAAATTAACACTCCTAGGGATAGTCAATTCCCCGATGAATTCTATATCCCTATAATAATAAAAAAAAATTACATAAATTTAACAAATAAAAATTCTACCAATATAAAGTATACAAGTAAAATTAAAGAAGAAATAAAAATTAAAGAATCACTTAAAAAAAATAGTGTGCATAATCATCTAAATATTAGTACATATTTAAATAATAATAACATGAATAAAGAAAAAGATATAATTACCTTTTTAACAAACAAACAAAAAAACTATGAAAAATATTTATTACAATTTAATAACTTAATTACACCTATATATCAAAATGAAAAAAAAAAAGATAAAAAAAAATGGTTTGATAAAAATTTTTTTCAAGGTTATTTCCATGAAGAAGGGCATAACTTTTATCCTTTCAAGATTCCAACAGGTATGAATAATTTATCGTTTTTTCAAAATATTCATTCTTTTTCATTAAATACTATTGATTTTGGAGAGAAAGATATCAGTGAATATGATTACAAGCTATTGGCTTATGAATCTGTTCTTTTAGTTTATTATTATTTATCTATTCAATTAAATTGCTATTTTTTATTTGATGTAAGTGGTAAACGTAAAATCAATAAATCATCTTATGAAAAACTATTTGAAAATTTATCATACAATTCAACAATTTTAATGAATGATATTAACAAACACTATTCTGAAAATAATAACATTAATGAAGAAGAGAAGAAAAATAATATGAATAGTGTAAGAGGTATTAAAAATAAAGATAACAATAATATAAAATATGAAAAAGTCGAAGAAGAAAATAAATCCTCATCAAAAAATTCCGTGAATGATTATTTTGAATATATTAGTTATATTTATAATGTGAAATTACAAAATTTATTATTAATAAAAAGAATAATAAGTATATTTAGAATAAAATTAAATTTGAATTCTAAAATAAATGACCTAATTACCTTACTTACTATTCCTAATCATTATATGAATTATGGCTATAAATACTCTTTTCACGTTCTTGATGTGCGTTTTAGAATAATTAGGATTTTAGACAGTTTAAACTTTGATCATATATTTAATTCTGATAATGAAAAAAATGAATGCAACAAACTAAATTATAATAATGAATATAGTATATATATAAATTGGTTAAAAAGGCAATTACATTTACTGTATGTATCCGTATATTTAAAATTTAGTCGTTTTATAAAATTTATTCCTTACTCTAATTTTTCTTTTTATCCACATATATTTGATAATATCAATATATTTAAAAATAATGAAGAGTATTTCAGTTACATAAATAAAACCAAAGAGGATAATTCATTTATTAGGTATATTAAAAATGTCCAAGATAAAATAAATAAAATATATAATTTCATTTTAATTAACAATAGTAACAAAGAAGATCAAGTAGACATAAAAATTAGTAAGAATTATCCAGAAAAAAATGATATAAATTTTGTTAGTTTTAATTCTTTAGGAATGGATGAAAAAATTATATTTTTTTGTAATTTATTATTAAAAAATATAATTAAATCATTTCATATTATTTATAAATTACAATATATTGTAAAAAAAAGGAAATGGAATAAAGGAGTATACAACGAAAAAAAAGATCTATCTAATTTAGTTAAATATTTTACTAAAATAGAATATTATGATTTTGAAATAAGGAATCTTATGTCTAATATTCATAAAAGAAAAAATCAAGAAATTTCTAAGAAAAATAGAAATGATATAAATGAACACAAGAATATGTTTTATGGTAATAATACAGGTAATTTACATTTTAATTTTGAACAAATATCTGACTACACAAAAAAAAAACATAAAGAATATGATTATGATGTGAATATTGATCATGATGAGTTATTTAAAAATATTTTTATAAATGAAATAACATATAAAGAAAAAAGTGATTATATTTCAGAAACTAAGAAAATAACTAAGTGTAATGAGAATAATACTTTAGATAGAGATGCAAGTAAGATAAATAAAAATGTGTCTAATTTTTTTGTAAAAAAAGAAAATAAAAATAAATCTAATTTTATTATAAAAAAAAATAACAGTAATGAGAATATTGCAATAGAAACCTATTTAACAAAAAAAGAAAAAAAAATTAGAAAAAAAAAAATTTTTTATAAATTAAATGTAGAAACAGTCTTATGCTCATGCTGGTTTATCGATAGAATTCTATTACATTTTTTTTTGTATTTTTATTTTTCATGTATAATTGACAACACATCTAAATCAAATATCTTTACAGATGCACCTTATATTACACAAGGAATAATTTTAATTACTTATTATTTACAATCAGGAAATGATTTAACTTTAAAAACTAAAAAGAAATATAATGAAGGGTTAGAATCTACCTTAATTCCTATTTCAACTTTTATACTTTATTTTGTCATTCATTTATTTTATTCTTTTTTTGATAAAGATTTATTATCATTAGAAGGAAATAAAGAGCAAGATCGTTTACAATTATTTTTAAAAAGTAGAAATAATGATAACAAAGAAAAAGAAATAGATGTAAATATAAGAGATAGTTATTCCAATTATAAGAATCAAATTATTACTGTTCAAAATGCAAGCAAATTTTATTTTATAGTCAAAAATTTTGAGTACTTCTTATCATATAGAACAATTGATGAAAATATATTAGAAAATAATAAAAATAATATTGATTTAAATAATTTCGAACATTATGAAGAATATTCATATAGTGAAGAAACAGAAGAAAAAGAACATTCCTCCATTAAAAAAAATGAACAAGAGAAAAAACAAGAAAAACATAAAAAAAAAAAAAAAAAAAAAAAAAAAAAATTTTTTGTATGTGCTGCTGCTCCAAAAAATAGTAATTCTTATGATGATTATGCAACTATGGATGAAGAGTGTAAAAGAAAAATAGAAAAGAAAAAAATAAAGAAAAAACAGAAAAGTGATGATATGATATATTTAAAAAGGTACTATAATATTTTATCATTTTTTAATTATAATCATTTGGAAAATTTACTCAATCCATATGTTCCTAGTATTTTATCCTACTATTTAAATAAAGAATTTTATACAAATGATTATTTTTTTTTTAATTTTATTTTTTCAAATAATGAAAAAAAAATAATAAAAAATATAAATTATGAATCAAATATAAAATATAAAAACAATTATGATCACTCTAATATAATTAATAAAGAAAATAAAAATGAAACATATTTAGATGATATTTATGAAGATAATTATAGCTCAAATTATGAATCAGATAGTAATAAGAATGTTTTATCTTATAAAAAAAAATATACAAATAATAAGAAATGCAGAAATATACATAATACAGGAATTAATAATATTATTATAAAATACAATACCAATAAAAATTTTTATAACTTCTCATTAATTAATATATCGAGAATTGAGAAAATTATGATAGATATTATGTATATGAGAATAATTAGTTGTGATTTTAGAAATTACTTTTTTCTTATTTTTTGCAATTATAGAAAATTTATTGATATGTATTCCTTACCTTATATATTAGATATATTTATAATTCTTCACAGTTTCTTTATAATAAATGGTAATAGTAAAAGACCAAAGAGATTAAAAACTCATAACATAAAAGATGAAAACAAAAATAAAAAAGAAAAAGATCCACAAAATGATCTTTTACAATACCAATACATTGATTGTATTAAAAATGAAAAAGAGAATAATGATCTATTTGAATTTACTTATAATATTTGTGTTGAAGATGATGATATTAATAAATATAATGAAGAAAATGATAATGGTGAAGAAAATAGGCATGATACAAAAGAAATTATATATAAGAAAAAAGAGAAGAAAGAAAATATTTCCTTTATTGATAATAGTGATAATTCAAAAAAAAAAGAAAAAAAAAAATTTCAAGATAACACAAAGAATTTTAATAAAGAAGCTTTAAATGAAAATGATATTTTTAATAATAATTTAAAAAAATTTACTAATAATAATTCGTATAATAATGATTCAGAAAATATTAAAAATTTTAACAGTGATAATAATTTAAGTACTCATAGGTTATCAAATTATTTTAAATATTTTATATATAATAGTTCCAAAAATATATTTTATAATATCATATGTAGTTTAAAGGATGATATAGAATTAAGTAATAACGTTAATTATGACAATTTAATAGGTGATGAAAATGATCAAAACAAACAAAAATATCAAGAGAATGATTATGTTAAAAATATAACAAATGGAATAGAAAATATAAATAAGAACATATCTATGAATGAAGTTGATATAGATAAAAATAATGATAATAAAAAAAAGAATTATTTGCAAAATTCTAATGATATTATAATCAACCATTATGTAGATATTATAAAAAAATACATAAATGAAATTATTGTTGAAATTTTATTTTTTTCTAACATATGGAAACATTATTTGCCATTAGAAGAACATCCATTAATAGTTTTATATGCAGCTAATAAAACATTATATTATGAAGTTATAAAAGTTATTAAATATTTTAAAGATAATAAAAGTTTATTTAATCATTCATTATCCATTATTGTCTCTTTATACAACTTCAATTTGCTAAATAAAGAAATTGTCTTACAAACTAATACCTATATGAAATATCAATCATTTGGAAATAAAAATTATGAAATATCTTCTAAAAAAGAAAAAACAAAAAATGATAATTGTTTTAAGAGTGACAATATGAACTGTAATGAATCAAATAATAATAAAAATAAAAATAAAAACGAAAAAATGAAAAATAAAGTTTTACATTATTACGAAAATAGAAACTCTTTTAAAGCAAGTAGCATTGATAAATTGAATGGGTACTTAAATAATGTGCTTAATAATGAAATTAATAAAAGTGAGGAAAAAGTTTATAATAAGAATTCAGATAAAGATGATATGTTTATAAATTTATCATTAATAATTTCTAATTCTAATAATCCATGTATGATAAAATTAATGTTCATGTTAGAAAAAATATTCATTAAAATTATTGATGAAAAATTAGAGGAAAAAAAAAATTTACTAACAGAATGTTTAAAAAATGAAAAATTAGTTCCGTTGAATTTTCCAGATATTATCTATAATTCAACTTCTGTTGATATCTTTTCAATCATTTCTCATATTTTAGAGGCTTTATTTGAATATAAATGCCCAGTAGAGTGGATTATTACACCATTTTTAGAATTTTTAAATGGTTTTATAAATAAATATTGTGAAAATTATAAAAAACTTTATTCTTCTTTCATTATATCTGTACTAAATCAATATGCAGATAAATATTTTAACGATTTATTAAATTTAAAGGAACAGCAAAAAATACAATGGAATAAATATTCAAATGATAAAAAAAAAAGAAAAATTAAAAAAAACACTGAAGAAATATCTAATGAAGTTAATATATTTAGAATAAATGATAGAGAAGTAATTGGAAATGATGAAGAGGAGGAAATAATTGATAGTAATATTGAAGAAGAATTTAACGATGTTAATGAAATAACAAAAAGAATAAAAGACAAAAAGAAGAAAAAAAGTGTTTTTTACAAATTATTTGATTATGAAGAAATTGACTTAAAAAAAAAAAATAAAATTAATGAAAAATTAGGAGATAGAAATGATTTATCTATGAAAAAGTTGAATTCAAAAAACACAGCTATACAAAAAGGTTCTGTTTATTATCACAAAAAATTGAATGAAGAAGACGAATTAGAAATAAATGAAGAATATAAAGAAAGAAAAAAAAAAGGTATGTATATGAGTAAAGATTTGATAAATATTATAGAAGAAATAAATTATTTATTTAATGACTCGGATTTATCAAATTCGTTAGTTATAACATGGAACTTGTACTTTTTTTTAGAACAATTACCTTTAATAAAAAAAAAATTTGAAAAATATATTTTAGAATATATTTGTGCTCGTACGAAAAATGTAGAAAAAATTACTCAAATTTTTAATAACTATATTGAATTTAATATAACTATAGAAAAATTACAGAAAAATATTTATACAAAAACAATATTGGATGTTTTAGATACTTCTATTAATAATATCAAAAATACTATAAATAATACATTGTATTATATATTTAAAATTTTGTCAATAAGAATTATTTGCTATGAGTTTCAAGAAGAAATATTCTACAACCTTTATGATGATTTTCATTCAAATAACATTATGAATATAGTGAATATTTTTCCAAATACTATAGAAAAATTTTTTATTCAATTACCTAGTATTTACTTTAAAAGTATATTGACTGTATTTATAGAATTATTTATAAAAATGTGGATGCTAATAATAATTGAAAAAGGTTTCTCAAATTTTACTTACACTGATGATCATATGAGCATTTTGAAAACAGATAATCAATATATAAAAAATTATATTCATATTAATAATATCCAATCTACTCATTATTTCTTAAACAAAAAATATAATATTAATGAATATATAGATATGTTTTTTGATAAATTACATAATAATCGTAACATGTTTAATAAAATAATCAACGATCAAAAACATAAAAAATCTAAAAATATTGTTTCATCAGCATATAATAAGGGAATGTAAGTATTTCTATGTTTATATTATTTTAATAAATAATTATAATAATTTTTATAAAATAGTTCAAAATTTTTCATATAATTTGACGTCGATATTTTTTATTATTAATATTTTAATTTATTTTTATTTTATTTGTATTTCATTTTTTTTATTATTATTATTTTATTTTTTTTTTTTTTTATTATTAGGGCAATTATAACAGGAAAGAATAATCATGAAGAAAAAAAAACATGGAAAGACAATATTTTTAATTTTTCTAAAAAAAAAGATATAAATTAAATAATATATATTAAATAAATTTTTTTGTTAAAAAATAGTAAGACAAAAAAAAAAAAAAAAAATAAAAAATACATATTTATTAATAATATTTTTTAATTTTGTTAATTTTATCCTTATTTATTATTTCATTTATTATTTATTTTTTTTTTTTTTTTTTTTTTATATATATTTTAATCAATTCATATTTATTTTGCATGTCTATAAATAAAATAGCATTACTGAATCTTATGTTATACATTTAATTTAACAATTTATAAAAAAAAAAGTGACATTTTTAT